TTTTTGAGAAGGACGGAAGGATTGTCACCACTGTGAAGACGTCTGGGACCTAAATGGAGTAGATGTGGAACAGCCCTGAGAAGATCTGCCTTGGTTTTGCTGCTTAAACGAACAGTAAGGTTGTGATGTTGGCTGATATTGTTGTTGAGTATAAGATTTTTGCCATTGGTACCTCTGGAATTTCAGTTGTTGTTGAATAGTATAAGATTTAGCTGTTTTCTTTATCTTATGCAAGTTCTCCATGGTGTCATCTGTCTTTTTGTTAAATAGACACTTGGCATCGAAGGGAAGTCCTTCAATGCATGTTTTTGCATCTTCTTGCAAGTTCTCCATGGTGTCATCTGTCTTTTCGTTAAATAGACACTTGGCATCTTCAATGCATGTTTTTGCATCTTCTGTTATGCCAGAGGATCTTAACCAGGCGTGTCTTCATAAGGCAATTGCTGATGTCATTGACTTGGAAGTCACGTCGGCTGCATGACGAGACGCGAGCCTTTGATGTTTGGCTACTGACATGGCTTTGGTATAAGTGTTAAACAGGGACTTCCTAACCTCTTCTGGGGCGGACTCCAACGTAGGAAGTACCTTAGCCCACAGTTGGCGCTGGTATGCCCCCATTGCTGCTTGATAGTTGGACACACACAGTAAGAATGTAGCGAAGGAGTACATCCAATGACCTAGTACGTCCAACTTCCTACCCTCTCTATTGGTTGGAGTGACTTTAGCTTTCCCTCTGGTTTTGGAAATGTTTGATTGCACTATGGTAGAGTTAGGTGCAGGATGTTTACTAAGAAAACTTGACTCATCTCCATGTGTACAATAGTGATTTTCCACTCGTCTAGTGACCTGTTTGAAGGATGAAGGTAAGTTCCAAGATTCCTTAACTAGGTCCATTAAAGTTGGGATAAAGGTGAGACTCAGAGGTGGGGAACATTCCTGATTAATGTCTCCGAAAACTAAGTCGTCTTGAGGAGGTGGGGGCTGTTCCACATCCAACTTTAAGGTTTTTGCCATTCGAGAAATCATATTGGCATAAGAGGAAAAACCCTCAGAGGGGGAGGATGGATGAGGGTCACCAGCATCTGAATCGGGCGTCCTTCTATCCACTTGAGTTTCCTCTGATACTTCAGATAGAAGTTCCTGATCTTGGTCAGAGTCAGCAGATGTGATAAAGTCCTCATGCACTGAAGGCAGAAGTGTAGGTGTTGCCATTTTCGTCCTTGTTTGTGAGTAGAATGCTGTGTTTTGACTCTAGATTGTGAAGGTTCGGGGGTGATGGTGGAAGGTCTGCACCTTTTGGCACATCACAATGCTTTGATTCCTTTAAGGCATGTTTGTAGACGTCGTAATATCTGCGGCTCTCGATGTCTAGGTGGAGAAGGAAAAGAAGAAGACAACGTTGAAGCATATACATATCTGATCTTCTTGCTTTTCCTGTAGTGCCTATCAGAAGATGAGTTGGAGTCGGAATCTTCATCTCGATGACAATGTTGGGACTGTTTCCAGCTGAGATGTATGACAAGTGGGTTGTCATATTTGGATTTAGTTCGATGTCAACTAGGTACGATGGCAACTTCACGATGGGATGATCTGCATCGATCCGGGGAAAGGTGTTTCTTTTTTGACAGTCTTTTACGAGGTGGAGACTGCGACCCCGAAGAAATGTATGGAGATCGATGTGCCATCAATGCCCGCCCGGTGTAAACAGGGCTTTGATGGGCAGAAGCCGAGCTAGATAGGGCATTATCCTCTAACTGACTGGGATTAGGCGAGCGGCTTGACAGTTGAGGTGGAGCCTGTACTTGTCGAGGGGGAAGCGATGGAGCGGCTTCTGACAATGACTCCCGGTCCCGGGAAGAAGGGGAGATCGGAGGGATATTGCCTTGTTGATCTTTCTTATGTCCCTGCTTGACTTTATCTTTTAATGCACCCTTTTTCTTTTTTAGATTGTCCTTGGATGGCGCCACGGAGCAATCTGTCGATGTCAACGCTGAGGGAAGTTGTCGTTTCGATCCCAACACAGAGGTGTTTTTGGGTGGTTTTGTGAGGTTTTCGGCGCTGGTAAGTTGGTCAGTGACTGCCCGGCAACCTCTGGGTGGGGAGTGGTAGAGGATGTAGAGGCTGTCTCCATGTCGGTAGGTTTTGTTGCCGACAAAGTCTTATCCCACAGAAACAACTTTAGGCATTGTTGTCTCACCCTGAGAGCAGGCTTGGTCAGATTTGTACAGTGTCTACAAGATTGCGGGTGGTGAGCTTCCCCTAAACAGAATAGACACCGCTCATGACCACCCGATAATGGAAACTTACAAGTACAGGCCACGCACCACCTAAAGGGACCTGATGGGGACATAAAGTGCAGGGCAAGATAAAACTCACAAAGTACGAGCCAAAGTGAAACAGTCCAGGTCAGAAACCGTAAGAGTAGAGTCCAAAGGGGTAAGCGAATAGCATGGTTAAAAAAAAACAGTTTGTGTGAGGCAGCAAAAAACAGTCCATGAAAAGAGCTTGGGAATGTAACGATCTGGGTCTTGCCACAAGAAAAATCAATCTGAAGGGGGAAAAAGAAAGCAAGGGAACTAGCGCTGGGGTAACAAAGCCAGAAAGAGTAAACGTAGCCAGTCAGTCCGTGGTCGATCATAAAAATTCAAAAATAGAATGAGCTCTAACCGAGAAGTTCCAAATACCAGGGTGGTAAAATGGAACTGAGGGTTGAGGTGGACAGAGCATGCACTGTAGGGGTAACTCTCAACTATGAATTTTTTTCTAAAAGCTCTAGAAACTTCTGAGAATTCCTGAGCAAGCGCAGATTGAACCCTATTGTGTGAATTCAGAGGCCACGAAGAAGAACTGATGATTGAAAAGGGGTGTGTGTGCTGCGGCTGGAGGCCGAGTGAGGGGAAAAGAAAACATCTCTGATGATAATACGTAGTTTAAAAGAAAAAAAGATTAATAACAGGAAGAATTATGAGGCTCTCAATGCAGCGGTTGAAAGAAACTGAAAGAGAACACTTGGCATCAAGGTACTTATATGGGTGGGGAGGGGCATATTCTAATATGTTAATTGCTACCGCAGAAGCTCTAGAATCTTCTGATAAAGCTCAGCGCAGGTGTGAATCACCCAGGGTGTGATTTACAGAGGGTGCAAAGAAGAACTATGTATCTTATGTTGGAATATGTCTGTGCAGGATGAAAACCAAGGGCTACCGGGACAGGATGGTGATTTGTTGCATGAACTTTTCAAAATTATGGCTGCCTTGGGATCTATGCATCTGGTGTCTAAATTTCATAAACAGCCATGTGAATAGGATCTAATCCAGTTTGATCGGGGTTAGTTAGTATCCCATTAATTACAATTACCAGAATGCCTTCCCCAATCTGGTGCACTCCAGATGTGTTCAGCTATAACCTTCATCATTCTCAACCAGCATAATCCAACAAATGGAGGGAGGGCAGGCTTGGAAAGGCTATAATAAGACATTTTCTGAAGCTGAGAATGAAATAGGAAATTAGGCAGCTATGTGGTTTATGTGGCTCCTGTCTCTACTACAGAACACCTAATAAGAAAAAGACTAGTGCAAATGTCATGGAAGGTTTACATAGGTAAGATCCTTTAAGAATGAAACCTCTTCTCATAAGTTAGAAATTATTACTTCCAGTTTTGCCTCTGAATTCACTCTACCACTTTAAAAATTGTTATATTTCTATGTCTTTAAACAGGTTGGCATATAGCAGCGATGGTGAACCTATGGCACGCGTGCTACAGCTGGAGCCCTTTCTGCCGGCATGCGAGCCATAAGTCGCCAGATCGCTACTCCCCCCAAGCAGCCAAACCTGAGAAGGTGGCTGCAGCTGCGGTGCTGGTGCTTCAGCAGGCAGATCCGGAGCAGCTGGCACTGGCAGCAGATCCAGAATGGGGCCTCGAGGAACCTCCATGCCCAGGATTCCCCCTTCCGCTGCCACTTCTGGTTCCTCCACCGCCACTTCCGGTTCCAACACCGCCACGCCACCTACTGTTTTTTTCTTTTTCTTTTCAGTTGGTCACACAACCCCAAAAAGGTTCACCACCACTGGCATATAGAAATTAAGATTGATACAAAGCAAGAGAGAAGAACCTGTGCTCCTATGAATGTTGTTGGACTCCAGACTACAGCCATTATGGCTAATGGTCAGGAATGATGCTAGCTGTTATCCAACAGTATCTGGACGGCCCCAGATTCTCCACCTTGACACAGAGTGATCAGAAGAGCTTCACTGACTTAACTTTTGCATGCGAGGCAGCTATTTTTAAAAAAATGGCAAATCTAGGTCGAATACAAGATATTTAGCATTTTACCTGATATGTACAAGTACTGCATTGATTTTGGATGCAGAATGAATAGTGATCAGAAGAGCTTCACTGACTTAACTTTTGCATGCGAGGCAGCTATTAAAAAAAAAAAAGGCAAATCTAGGTCGAATACAAGATATTTAGCATTTTACCTGATATGTACAAGTACTGCATTGATTTTGGATGCAGAATGAATGGAAACAATGCATGGAATCATAGAATAGTGAAGTTGGAAGGGGCCTATAAGGCCGTCAAGTCTAACCCCCTGCTCAGTGCAGGAATAAAAATTAAAAAATCTGCCAAGTGGTTGTCTAAATCAGTGGTTCTTAACCATTGTTACTCGGATGTTTTTGAACTGCAACTCCCAGAAACCCCAGCCAGCACAGTTGGTGGTGAAGGCTTCTGGGAGTTGCAGTCCAAAACTCCTGAGTAACCCAAGGTTAAGAACCAGTGGTCTAAATTTCTCTTGGATGCCTCCAGTGTCAAAGCAATCACCACCTTGTGAGATAATTGGTTCCGTTGCCTTACTGCTCTAACAGTCAATAGATTCTTCCTGATATTCAACTGAAATCTGTCTTTCTGTAACTTGAGCCCATTACTGTGTGTCATTATATCAGCATATTAATCATATACAAGAGAAGTTGGTGAACTAAATTAGATTTTAAAAAATCACCTGGATGAGATCACAAATGGAGAAGTCTTCCCATTCTTCCCCAAATAGCTGTTTACTTCCATCAAACAGTCCCATGTAGGTAGCACCTATCAGCAATTTTTAAAACCTTGTATTTAAACCATTTCTTGAGTTCTTTCATGCCAGCAGATTATCACCTGCTTTAGGCTCTCAGACATCTCTAAATCAGCAAGTTTCAGCATCATAAACAGAATAAGTGTTGCTCTCTGCTTCTTCATATTACATTATCTATTTTTCTTATTCTACAAATATATATTGCTTGAAACTGCATCTCATAATGAAGGTATCAGGCCAAACACTTCAAAGTTGACATGGTTACATAGCTGAGGCTCCTACAAAAAGCAGTTAGAGTATTTTAAATAAAATGAGAAGCCAAGGAAGAACATATGCATTTTCCTTGGAGCTTGGGTTTCAATGAATTCAGCTTTTTGCCTGAACAACAGCTAAATTGTTCACTTAGCACTACTGATAACCTCAATTGTAGTCTATTGGGGTTTCTACCATCAAACCATAGTTTCATATCTTGGTTAAATAGTTACCAATGGTTAATATTATGGTCACTTTAATTGTTTTTAATGCCAGTAGTTTCTTACCTATCTGTGTTCTTTCATATCAATGATTTACTAAATTACTTTGGCTAGAGTAGAAACTCCAAGGTCTCATTAAACATCTTTTCACTGTGCCACAAAACATGTTTTTAAATGTCAGATAGTACAAATACTCCTTGAACCCAAAATATTTTGAAGATACCACCCTCAACATACTTGCAAGGAATTAAAAATGCAGTCTGAAACAGACTTTTCAGTAAGCCAAGACACAAGCGAGACTTCCTTCTGAGTAGACAGACAAAGAGTGATGCTCTAAATTCCACTGAATTGTTAGACTTATCCAAAAGCAAGAGTGGATGATACTTTATTAGATCAGATAAAACATAAAGGTTCTAAATATCATGGCCAGTGATCCATTTCAGGTCCTTTGTTAATAAGTAAGTTTCAAAATGGGGGCTGCAGACTTAAGACAGAAATGGAGGCTTCATATTCTGCCTCTGGTGGTATAGATTGGAATATCTCTCTTCATCTTGTTAGATGTGTCGGGATGTGCGTGAAATAAATCACTCTTTGGTAGTTAGCGGAGTCCAGGAAAGAAAATTTACGCTGCCTCTTCTCTGGACAACAGTGAAAAATAAGACACAACAAAACCTTCACTCTGAGGATTCGAACAATATAACTCATAGAGAAATTGTTGTTTTTCTCCAACAAAGGCTTTTTATCTCATAGTTTCAGGAAAATATTTACAGTAGCTATATACAGCATTCCAGACAGCAAATGGACAGCATAACGCTCAAAACTTCAAGCTCCACCCACTGGAGAATGGTACTGACTTGGTTACTTTTATATCCACAAAACCGATGCAATCTTGCTACCGGGATTGCATCAGATACACAGTGACCCGGCAGAGATCCACTGCATAAATCCATCATGTCATACCTTTTCTTAAAGAGACAATATTCTCCAGCATTTAGATCAATACTCTGACAAGATGAAGGGCTGCAAGGCATTCGGCATTCCTCCCATCGCCTTATACTGAAACATAAGATTCCTTTTGGTTGGGAACAGAGGTATAGAGAAATGTGGCAACCGTACATCAAGGAAGCTAGGTTAAAATTTGAGTTACACACTAGGTGAGCCAACTGCAGCCAAATTAACAGAACTGCCATTAGTATTACCATTGCTAGTTATTTTCCATAGTCTAATAAAAAAGAAATGGGATGTACATCTGACCATAATTTTTGGAACTTTTATGTATGTTTTTTCTGAACACCACAGCTCTGTGGCACCCATACAGCCTGAGGATGAACTATACTAGCTAGTTTGTACTGGCAGTTTTAAAGTAGTCTTATAAATGTGTCACCCATTTTGCCTTGGGAACATGTATAAGGAACATATGTTTTTTTAATTATTGAGACATGTCCATATAACCAGTTTCTCATAAGGCAGGTTCTAATATGCAGTAGTACCAGTGAAACTTTAATTGATTTTTTAAAAAAATTCTTAGCCCAATGGGAAGAAGCTCACCCAAAAATAACAGGAACAAGGTCATCCAAAAGACAATTTTCTGAGCACAGCTCCCACTGTGAAACAACAAAGAAACAGAATATAATGTCAGGATTAAACCATCTTACAGCATTAGATAAAACATTCACACTGGTGTTTCTGCTATGGTCTTGATGTGCTGTTTACTGATAT